AGTAAAATAGTATATTTGTTATACCAGATGTGATAGAATAGATGATTATTTGTAAGACCCATCATAACACTTATTGAATTAACAAACATGAGAGGAGATTAAAATATTTTCTATTACCCATACTAATTTCTATGAGTATTAAAAATATAAAGAATTTATTTCTCAATCTCATACATAGCAATCCTCCAAACAAACATGTCCCATGTATTGTCCTGACAATGAATTTAGCATGGCTAAGGGGCCAACACTAAGACATGAGACGTGTAAAAAATGTTTTTTTTTATTATTATTATTTTGAGCCACTTGATATTTTATGATAGTCACTTGATATTTTAGAAATGACACAACCATTAATTGCCAAAATTTTTAATGTAAAACCATTAATGAAATGACATTATCATCCTTGTCCGAATGAGTTAAAAACTTAACTATTTCGATAAAAAATTGAGAGCCATATCTCTGTGGCAAACAACACACATAATCATATTCTTTTTTGGAAAGTTAGTGGATTTTAATATAATTAACACTTCAGGTGTCAATCTAATTTATCCCCCCCAAAAAAAAGTCTGTTCTAAATTTGAACCTTTCAATTGGAAAAATAAAAAATAAAAAAGGGAGAGATTTAGAAAGATTATTGCTAAAGGGGCTTCTTTTTTTTTTTTTTTTCCTTTATCATTGCTAAAAAAAGAAGATCTCCTAACTCAGCGCTACTCAACTTGTAGAGTGTCACATATACTGCAAACAACAATGTTGTGGTAGTTACCAATCTGGCCCTATCTCACAAAATAGTTTGATGGCCGAACCACTCCAAGGGGCCGACTTGACACCGACCGGCGAATACTCCAGCGACTTTGATATCATAATTTTGAACTACTATATATATTTCTTGAGTTCGAATCTTGATAATTTCTTAAGATTAGATTATGAGGAATTTATTCTTTATAAATACACATTTTTGATGTGAATGACTTATTTATGATAAAATCAAAAAAAAAAAATTAATCGAGATATACATAAATTGATTCGAACACATATAACCATTGAACCGAAAAAGAACAAAAAAAGGGGCTTTTGTGGGCTCTAAGCTTTTATGTGGCACAATGGAATAGGAGGGGTAGGGTTGGATACTTCAATTTGTAACATCAATATAGTTAGGTTATGCATAAAGATTCAACATAAAAATCATTTATGAAGCTGATGGTGTTGTTTATTTGACTACCTGACCATAAATAAATGGAAGTACATCCATGGTACAACAAGCCAAGAGGTGTCCTAATCATGCCATCAAGAAAGCCTAATATTTTGTCCTAATTCAGCCACGTCTATAATTTTTCAGTATTATACTTTTTTTTTTGAATTAACCAAAAAATAGCATGTATAAAGTTTTATTGGTTTATTTATAATTTAATGGATTTTACAATCTATCACTACATATCACTTGGAGCAAAATCCACAGTTGAGAATAAACATTTTAGTACCAAAGGCTTACTATTTAAGAAGTTATTATTATTATTATTATGCTATTGAAAGAAAGGGTAAGGGCAAATGAGAGCGCTTAGAGACCACTCTGATAGACTTTATTGGTGAGATTATGGGGCTCTTGACCACGTTCGTTACTTTTTTCGGGAACAAACCTAGCTAGGTTAGCATAATAGTCAACCACCGAACCCTAATTTGTACTCCAAGACTTGAACTTCTAACGTCAAATTGAGAAATTCGACTGTTATCCCACCAAACACCCCACTCAATGATGAGAAGTTAAATTTCAGTACCAAAAGCTTATTATTTGTTTTTGTGAACATTAAGAACGTCCAAATAATATTTAGGCAACTAAGCAATTCTTAAGTCAACCTATACCCGATTAATATAAAATTACGATTTAATTGTGTTTTTACTTTCCTCTAGTTTCGGCTAGAAACACCTTACCTACTTAACGTTTAAAAATATGTATATATATTACCTTCTTATAGTTATATATTAAAATAAAGTAATTGACGACGTTAATAGAATTAAAAAAATACTATAATTACTCATGTTCTAAAAACAAACTTTTCTTCTGATTTACTGCTGGCCATAAAACTAATAAAACATGACAACAAATTAACACATTCAATTAAATATGCAGAATTTCTTTTTTCCCTCAAGTGATGTTTTATTCCAGGGTAAAAAGTCACTTGAATTTTTCTTAAATATTTTTTTTGTCTGGGACTGATGTTCGACTTATTTGGATATTAGACCATATATAATAAAAAATATTTTAAGCACTTTGACAATGTTCTTTTGGAGGGAAACAATGAAAACAAAACCCACAACATGTTTTGAGTGTGTGGAGTACATTCTCCGTTAACTTGAATGATAAACGTAACTATTTTCACTTTGATACATAACTACAAGGAGATCAAAAAAAATCTAACTAGACTCAAATTAAGGAGAAGATTAAAAAGGGGGTGGGGGTACAAATAATCAGATATGCATAGTTTAACCTAGCACGTCAAAAAATTATTTTCATGACTCAAACACGTGAGATTGAAAATTATATTGAAGCAACCTTACTACTTAGACATGGACCCATCTTCATCCAAAAACAAGAAGATATGTGGAAAAAAATTTTTTTTTTTTTTTTGGTGGTAAATGAAAATATATAAGTTCTTTTGTACACGAGTTGGTGGTGTTGGCAATAGTAATAATTGGGCACGGTTTGAGTCACAATTTTTAATTGTTTAGTTGACCACAAAAATATAATTGTTATCATAGCGACACCAACGCATCCCACACCCCCAAAATTGTCATGTCCCAATGATGCAAATGCATATAAACTAAAGCTATTTATGAGACAAAAACTATGGCATATAGGTAACCAACCCTCAAATTGGTAATCCACCTCTATTTCTTTCAAGGAATACTAAGGTGAGAAGTGAGATCAAGTGTTGAATTTGTTCACCAATATATTTTTGCTTAATTGTAAGGAGAAACTTACCGGTTAACGGAAAATACATCATTTGAGATTTATGTATATATTTGAAGTTTGAAATAATAAAGAAACAAGAAAATAAAACCAATTTTTTATTACTTCGACCCTCTCCCCATAACCCTTTTTTTTAAATGACTCGCTCAACGATTACGTTTTTGTTATTGCATTTCAAATTATGATTATTGATTTTGTATAGTCCAAATCTCAAACTAATTAAAAAATGGACGAAGATTGTTATCCCTTTGCCCCAAAATAAGTGATTTTATTATATTTTGCTCTTAAATAAAATACTACATAGATATTTTGCATCTAAAACATAGTAAGTGTTTAGTTTTGGAGTAATATGATACCAAAAAAACATAGTTGAAAGTGTAATGTGAAAAACCCGTAATGAATAAATGAATTTAAATATGTGTTATGATCTTTTACTGTAATTGCTTCCAATTGAAGATGCTTGGAAATGTTGCTTGAACCATTAATTAAGGACATTGATGGATTAATGAATTAATCCAAGTAGATATACCTACTAATGAAGGCAGCATACCCTATATATTAATTAAGGTGATGTCACACTAGGCCCGTCAATTTTGTCGAGTGAGATGAGTTCGTGTTAGATCGATATAGGTTTGTGTCAAAAAGTAATCCACTCATACTCTATTTGTTTATTAATTCGTGTCCAACGAGTCGTGTTATATCGGATTCGTGTCGTGTATGAATCGTATATAACTTGTATATAAACGAGTTGTGTCGTATATATTTTTTTTGATTGACTTCACTCATACTCAATTCATTTATTAATCGTGTCATGTCGGATTTACTTATTTACAAAATAGATGACTTAAAAAAAACTCAAACCTGACCCTATATTTCGTGTAATGTCAATGAGACGTGTCATATTTAAGCACCATAGCTAACAATATCAATTGGTTAACTATGACTTTCAGTTTGAAACAGGCAGCTTTAGAAAAAGAAGATTATAGGGCAGAAAACCAATTTGTTCTAAAATAAGCATAGCAGTGAAATAGGAATAGTAGTGGTAGTATAGTAATTAAGGAAAATTACACATTGAACCCCGCAACTATGAGCCCAATTTCACTTAACTCTCTTAACTATTAAGTTTCTCACTCAACTATCTAGACATGTTTTATACAAAACATTATGCCCAAATGTATAGTAAAATAACAGTTTTAAATTGCAACAATTGGACAACACAAATCTAATGATTAAAATTAGAGGTGCAATGTGAGAAAACACTACTACAGTTGAGTGAACATTTCGAAATCAATTACTACAGCTGGAGATGTGTTGTGAAAAATTTGATTGTTAAATGGGCCATGTGATACAAATAATATAGTTGAGCGGGATTAAAATGTAAAATCCTCAAATAGTAACAATGACACCTAGAAAAATAAAATAATAACAGTGCTACATAGACTTAAAAAGTGGACTTAAAATTTATATTTGATGGTCACAGTCATTGTGTAAATCCCGACATTTTTTGGAACCTACTGTCTATTCAGTGATTGTAATTATCTAGTATAGATTTTAAGTCTAAATAATATTTTTGGTAAAATAATACTTTCAATTCACATAAATTTAACTATTCAAGAAAAGTAAAGAAAATAGAGAAAACAGGATGGAGAAATTGATGAAAAATATTACTTAAAAGCATTTCGAAGTCATGAAAAAGTATTAACAAACAAGAGCTGGTCAAAGTTCAAATTACACAATGTTTGTCGGCTCAGTTGTTTGCAATTACAAATCTGTACAGATGGAATAGAAAGATACTCCTCTCTCTCTCTCTCAATAAGGAGAGGCTGGAAGGAGCCAAACCCAGCCCCACTGCCACTACTAACAATTAAGAACAGGGCTTGTAACAAAAGGGATAATTAAATCAAAACCACCAAAGACAGGGCAAAAAAACAAAACCAACAAGAAAATACAGAAGAAATGAAATAATAAAAAAGTTTTTAAAAAGTAGAAAAAGAAAGGGAGAGTGCTTGCTTCTTTCTCACCTTTCTTCCATCCCTTTTCTTTTCTTGCAGCCTCTGTTGAGCATCTTTTCCCACTAAAATGCTCTTTTTTTAACAATCTCATTCTTCACCTTCTTGTTGAAAAATGTTCTTGGTTCTCTTTCTTTGTTGATTCCAACTCTCTCCTACTTCTTTCCATTCTTCAGCTGAGCTCTGTTAATTCTGTCCTTCTTTCTGGGTTCCCATATAGCATTTTCTGTTTGATCAGAAAGTTTAATTGCTTTCTCTTCAATACAGTTGCGGTTCTTTTTCTTTGCTCTGGTTTTTTCTTGGAAATTGAAGTTCTTGGGAAAATTCTTTGCTGATCCTTCTGAGTTCTGTCGGACAAGCTGAAAGAATCCCATATTTCTGGGGTTTTAATTCCAGAATTTAGAATTCTCTTTCATTTTTCCTTCTTGTTTGCCAGTGGTTTCTGGGATTTCTCTTTTCTGATTTGAGTACTAAGCGTTCTTCAATTCTCTTTCTTGAGCTCCTTATTCCCTGAAATTAGTTTCCCACTTTTTCTTCTTCTTCTTCTAATGGTTTAGCTTACGTTCTCGTTACTCTTGATCACAACTTCTCAAAACTTCTCAGCTTCCTTTTTTTCTTGTTTTTTTTGAATAGTGAAACATTCTCACAATTGGGTTCCAGATTCCATGGGAATTTGTCATGGAAAACCCATTAAACCCCCACAAAACCTATCTGACAACCCAATAATTCCTAATGACAATGAGCCAACATGGAATTCTCAAACAAGGAAACCAACAAACTTTCCCTTCTACAGCCCAAGTCCTCTTCCTAGTGCATTCAAGAACTCACCTGCCAATTCTAGCGCGACTTCAACCCCTCTTCGCCTCTTCAAGCGCCCATTTCCTCCACCATCACCAGCAAAGCATATCCGGGCATTGCTTGCTCGGAGACATGGTTCAGTTAAGCCCAATGAGGCTTCAATTCCTGAGGGAAGTGAATGTGATGGGGAGTTGGATAAGAATTTTGGTTACTCAAAGAATTTCACTAGCCATTATGAGCTTGGAGAAGAGGTGGGGCGTGGGCATTTTGGGTATACTTGTTCGGCAACTGCAAAAAAAGGAAGCTTGAAGGGGCAGGATGTGGCGGTTAAAGTTATCCCAAAATCAAAGGTCTAGAGTTCATTGCTTTGTTTCAATGTTCTTTCTTTCCAATTCTGTCAATATCATTCACTAATTTGTTCATTCATTAGGCTTTTGTGTTTATTTTTGGTAATTGTCGGAAGGGCATGGAAGTGTGTGAGTTGAACCTGTGGGATATTGGATAGCTAAATGGCACTGTTTGTGTCAAATTTAAACCCTCCAACCGTTACGACTTCTGGATACTATGGTTTGATTAACAAGATTTAACTCAAAGTAACTGAGAAAAATGTCATAAATTAGATATGTACGACTTAGAGGAAAACTTTAGTCAGTATGGACAATTTAAGTATGGTTGGCAGGGTTGGGATGCTTTGTGAAGGTTCTGGTTAATGACTGTTGGATTTCATTTTGTTTCAACTTAATCGCACAGATAATGAGTTAAAGTTATTTATACGACTATGGTGATGCTACAATTGATTATCTTACTCCTACCAAAGATAGGAAGTTGTTATTTACTTTTATGTTATTCTCTTATCTAAATCATGGGGGCATTTGTATTTATTACTGAAGTCGTAGTTGATTAACAGTTTAGGTTATCCTTTTAGCTACAGACTTTGCATTGACAAATGTTGTCCTTATAGATTTAGATAGTGAAAACAAATGTGATTCTCATTTTCTTCTCAAAAAGATGAATATATTTTGCAGATGACTACGGCAATAGCCATTGAGGATGTAAGGAGAGAAGTGAAAATATTACGGGCTCTCACTGGGCATAAGAATCTAGTGCAATTCTATGATGTTTATGAAGATGACGACAATGTTCATATAGTAATGGAGTAAGTTTGGACTACTTCCCCTTAAATAACTGAAGTTCTGATATGCTAACTTGGACTATATTGCCTTATGTAATTTGTGGCTGTTTTTTGTCTCCTCAGTTTGGTTTGCACTAAATCAGTCAAATAGGAAACTTGTCGTTATCAATTTCACCTTACATAGTGGTACATTTGGTGCTCTAAATTATTGCATAAGTTCATCAATCAACTTTCTCTTTCGATTTTTAATATTTTCCAGATGCCACAGATATACAAATTGCAACCATGCATCATATGCTGTACTGCAACTTAATTTCACTGTTTGATTCAGTGAATAACTGAACTGGTGGAATCATGATGTCAACTTATTGACTTGCATGTAATCACAGTGTATTTGATGTGATGTGACTGAGTGATTCATGCAGAGAACTAACCATAGAATCATTGTAGATATTGATACTGGTTGGCTGAGTAGTGTGAAAGTCAGCTAAAGTTTTAAACCATTATGCCTGTGACTCATTGGAACAAAAGTCATATTCTTTTAACCAGTCTCTAATATTTTCCCCTTTGTGCTGTCTCAGAGTTTGTGATCTCCAACAATAATCAAATATACCAATGTAATTGTTGGTCTTATGTGTAGCAAGGATCCCTCAGCTAAATTAAAGTTTTGAAGTTTTTGATCATACCCTTTATGACGTTTGTTGTTCTTCAGGTTGTGCAAAGGAGGAGAATTGTTGGATAGAATACTTTCAAGGTACTTATTCAGACATATTTCCTTTCGTGGGAAATTTACTCTGTTTTCCAACCTTTGAACTGGCTAATCATGTTCTTTAGGGGTGGAAAATACTCTGAAAAAGATGCCAAAGCTGTCATGGTTCAAATTTTAAGTGTGGTTGCTTACTGCCATCTCCAAGGTGTGGTTCACCGTGACCTGAAACCTGAGGTATTTGTCAACGATTTATTCTAATTGTTCTTTGCCCTTGGTAATTAAACAGCATAAAGCTCAATTCATTTTGGGCGGAAAATGACCACATTGTGGTGGATTTTTAGATTATGTTAAACCAATTCACCTAGTTTGGGGTTCAGTATGACATGCGCTTTTGCCATTTTTACCTACAAATCTACCAACCACTGAATTTTGGGGCAGTGTCAAACCATTTAATATAGTTAAGAGAGCAATATAAGAAAATAATAATGCAGGGGCAAAGTGAAATCAGGATCATAATTAGTGGTGCTATATTTCCTACTCCTCAAGTTTCATAGTAGTGGAATTTGGGAAGGCCATCATAAGACATCATATAGTTCAACAAACATTTGGAGTTAGAACTCTTGGGGGTGGTCCATTGGTCAAGCCAGCCCTCTTGCAAGCACGAGATCTCAGGTTCGAGCTATCCTTGTTCCTTTGGGATATTTCCTTAAGCTAGCTCGAGTTCGAGGGAGTAGTCGGCGCAAGTCTGTGGCAAAAACAAAAGCATTTGAAGTTAGTACCTGTACCTATATTCATGTGTTTAATTATCATGGGTTGGTTTACTGCGGAAGACATAAACATTAGATTGTTCCTGTTGTCTACTTTGCCAATTTTTAATTCAAAATAAATGTGCTGAAGAGATGGTATAATTTCCAGTACTTACAAATTTGGTCATTGTTCTTTTAAACCTAGATGAAAGTTTAAAATCATCTCAAATTTCCTCACTGGTTGTATGCATGAGATTATGCATATAATGTTATTACTTATGATTTCTTCCTTAATATTTCTTCTTTGTTATAGGATTTTCTCTTTCATTGATACTGACTGAGTGAATTCTGCTTCAGAATTTTCTTTTCACTTCTAAAGATGAGCATTCTCCATTAAAGGCCATTGATTTCGGACTCTCTGACTATGTGAAGCCAGGTCAAATCTCATACTTTAGATTTTTATTTTCTGACTGTTAGAAAAACTCATTACAGTTTTGACAGTTGGAGTTCGGTGTGCAGATGAAAGGCTGAATGATATCGTAGGGAGTGCATACTATGTAGCTCCTGAATTTTTGCATAGATCATATGGAACAGAAGCTGACATGTGGAGTATAGGTGTCATTGCTTATATTCTTCTTTGTGGAAGCCGGCCCTTTTGGGCTCGGACAGAATCTGGAATCTTCCGAGCAGTTCTTAAAGCAGATCCTAGTTTTGATGAAGCCCCGTGGCCTTCGTTGTCAAGTCATGCGGTAGACTTTGTAAAGGGTCTGGTGAACAAAGATTACCGTAAAAGATTAACAGCTGCCAGGCTCTTAGTAAGTTGTTCCAACTATCTAATCATTAGATTTTCTAATTGGGTACATGAAACAATAATATTTTCTATAGGCTTCTGTGATTTATCTCTATCCTCATGAAACCACTTGAAAATTTAATTTGATCTGATCTCTTCCCAAGATGAGGAAGAAAACTTGGGGACCTTATTTGATTCTAATACATGCAATGGGTTTCCTTGTTTAGATCATCCATGGCTGGCCAATTATCATGATGTCAAGGTACCTTTGGATATGATAAATACAAACTGTAAAAGCTTATATATCGTTCTTCTCTGAGGAAAGCAGCTCTTGGGGTATGTGCTTCTGCCTTTAAAACAAATTCCTGATGTTTAAGGACCTTGTAAAATGTTGCCTTTAA